TAAATAAGATTTCTAGTAGAAAAAAATGCTTAGAAGATTAGGCAAAAATCTCATGTGGAAAAATAAAACGTGAACAGGAGATTATTGAAGAGAAAATTTTGTTAGATCCTCAGATTTTAAGAGAACACACTGAGTGATCTTTGGTAGAAGTTTTGTATTTTTGAAATGGTCAGTTAAAAAAAATGAATATCATTAGTATAAACAGCAAGCATTAGTACTTAAAAGTAGTAATAAATCAATCGTAAAATGGCCAATTTATTGAATGTAGGTAACGATAAAATGTTTAAATTTGATCTTTGTTGGTAGCAAATAAACTCGAATCAATCGAAGAACCTTGAAATAAATAAGAAAAAAAGACAAAAATATTACATTGATGCAAAAAATTTAGTTTGTACTGGTCTATCTCTTATTTTTCACTGATTGCCATTGTCTTTGCTGTTACTACTAGTTTGCAATATTCCAAACGAATAGAGATATTCCGAACGTATTTCAATGCAAAGAAATACTGGACTAAAGAAATCTTTAGAAAAGTAAACAATTTATACAACTAGTGTTGGAAATTTTCAAATTTAGATTTTTTACCTCTTTCTGCTTTAATTTTTACCTCTTCGACAGCTATAAGATTCGAATTACTCAAAAATATATCCTATCGGATACTCGTTTTCCTTTCCTCAAAACAGTTTCAGATTTTTTATTACTTATTAAAGTGCCGAATATTCAAGAAAAGAAACCACATTCAATAGTAGCAAAAAATCAGCCAAACAACAATTTCAAATTGTGGCGTTAATTTTTTTTCACGTAACATCTATTGCATTGGTTTAATGAGATGGGACAAATCTTTTTCTTAATTTTGTAATTTTCTCGAACGCATTTAACATTACGTGATTCAAAATAACAAGATTACTCGTTTAGCTAACTTATTGATCAATCACTAACTGGTCTGTTTTTGTAGTTATTACATTCACTATCTATAAGTTACACTTTTTATAATTGCATATTTAATAAGAAAAGTGACTAATATTTTTTTTAACAACTTTTTATGAGGATAAAACAATGTTAAATCTGAACAACACTAAAATTCGAGTTATTTTTTCTTTTAAAGTATTGTTGAATGTACTGTGCATCAATCATTGAATGAAATAATTCCAAGTGCAATCGATAGTCACAAAATGGGAAATGCATCATCGAATATTGCATGAGCAATGGAGGAAGAAAAACTATCTTGAATATGAGTGAAAGGAGTGGACTCTTTGATTTTCGCATGATATATATTAATTAAAATCATTCATAATTGTCATAAGAGTGATATCCCATTACACTATTTACTCATCAATTATCATAACAAAAAACAGTAGTATAAAAACTATTATAGTAGTTTTTTTTTGTTTCTCATCAGTTATCGCATTTAATTCAATTGATGTGCAACAACAAAAAAGTATATAGATAAGACTAGCCGTTTGTAAGTCGACATTCTTTTAACACTTGTTGCTCTTCAATTCCTCTCTTGTTTACACTATCATTTATAGATGTACATTAAATGCTTTAGCATGCAAGCTACTCTTATCGATTCACCGTTTGTAAAATTGTCTCATTTCTAACTATTCGAGTGATTATCTTCAGTTATTTTAGATAATAAAAAACATATCTGTGCGAAAGCAAACATGAAAATGTTTTGGTCTATACTGATCTATTCTCTCTTTTATGTTAATTTATTTTTCAATGTTCAAGACTACGACGATGATAAAGATGCTTTGCTGAAAACTTTAATTCATCGAAGATTCTCTCGCTCAACTTGTCCTGATCTAAAGCAATGTCGATCACGATAGGGCTACTGTGGAACGGGAGACACTTATTGTGGAGATGGGTGTCGAGCTGGTCCATGTACACGAAGTAGAGACTCTGCTAATCTTAGCACTGAGGGTGTGAGTGTCGGTGTGGAGTGTGGGTGTTCTCATCATGCACACCCACATCCACATCCACACCCCATCCACCCACCCACACCCACACCCTTGTTGAAGAAAGACAAAAAGATATGCAATTTCACTTTTTTAGCTTTTATACATCTTTTTTCTTAGATTGACTGTGTTAGACAATTGACAAAGTTGATTGCCGAAAGGATATATTTGATTGCAAGTGAGTAAATGCTATAAGCTGGTCAAAAATTAAAAAATATCTCAGAACTCTTCAAATAAGACAACTTTTCCATACATATAGTGAAATAGCACATTTGAATAATATGGATTAAAAATAAATATTCTACCCATGTAACCACGAAACGCACAATGGACGCGGCTAGATGCGTTTCTGTTGAAAATATTGGCGTTCTGACGCGTTTTTATTGAAAATGCCGGCGTTTCGACGCGTTTTCGTATTAAAGAATAATGGAAACGCGTTCGGTTTGAACGCGTTTAAAGAGCATTACGAGCTTGATAGCAAAAACTGAGATAAACGCGTACACATGCGTTTTTATTTTCGTTCGAAACGCGTTGGTCTGCTCCAGACCTTTTCATGCGTTTAGAAATATACTCAACAATTAAAAGAAGCTATTTACCAGCCGCTAAAAATGCTTTTTGTTTATTATTTCTAATTTGTGTTAGTCAAAATATATTGAATATTTATTGGCATTATTTGGAAAAAAAGGAATGCAAAAAACAAGCCGATCTTTTTAAATTAAAATTTACTATTTTTTGTTGAATAGATGACAAAAAATATCCTTTTATTTTTGTTTCAAATAAGTTGATGCGTGTTGAATTGTCAATATATATATAACGATGTTTGAATTATTAAAAATTAAAAATATTGTTCAAATTATAAGTTTTCTACATTTAAAAAAATAATATTAATACAAATAGTTTTGTTTATATTTAATGATATAATAATAAATGGCCTTTTATTTGGTTCTATAAAGTAAAAAAAAATGAGTCTTTCATTTTTAGAAAATAAAAATTTGATGATTTTTTTTCACGTAAAAATCTAAGATTTTATTTTTTCCATATATTTCAGAGAAAACTGTATTATCTTCATTTTAAATTGTATAATTGTCTAACTTTAAATAAACTATTTTCATTCTTTAATTTCTCTATTTTGTAAAAAAAATAAAGAAACTTAATCTTGTTTATTTTATGAAGATAAGGATTTTATTTTGAAAATATAAATATTTTATTTAATAAATATTATAAATTTAAATATTTTATATATGATTATTTTATGAAATACAGATAAATCATAAATAAAATATTCATATTTATAATATTTACAAAATAAAAATAAATAAAAAAATCTTCATTTTTTAAAATTGAAATCTTAAAATCTTCATTTTTATTTCATAAATGTAAATTTTCTATTTTATGGATATTATAAATATAAATATTTTATTTATAATTATTTCACGAAGTAAAGATAAATCACAATATCTCCATTGTGAAACCTTATATTAAAGACAGAAAAAAGAATTATTCATTTGGTTCAATGATATAGAAACACTTTCGAGGCATGGATGGCTCAGAGCTAGTTGTGCTTGGTTCGCAATCAGTTGGTCGCGTGTTCAAATCTCGGTTCAAGTTGTCGCTGAAAAATTACCATTCGGTCGCTGCCAGGATTTGAGTCTTATATCATAGCTCGCTATGGTGCGTCGGTTCGATTCCAATATAGGGTGATGATTATTTTTGAATTTTTTTGGGAATAAATTAAACGCACGAATTTAAACCAGTGTAGATGCGTTTATTGAATGAAACGCGTTTGAACGCCCTAAAATGTTGCATTTTGGACGCGTTTTAACGCGTCACGTTATATTGCACAAACGCTCGGAAACGCGTCACTAATCCTAAAAATGGTTACATGGGTAGTAGTTGCACAATATTCAAAAATGATGGTAGTTGAATAAAAATAGATAAATATAAGAATTGTATATAAACATACGACATGGTTGGATTCGGTAAAGCGCACATTTTTTTCTCTTCTGCACTTGAATAATTATGGACGCGTAGAATACTTTTGATTTGAGCTTAATGTAAAAATAAACAAATAGCAAGTAGATAGAAGACTGTTTGGAGAAGAATATTGTTCATTGTGATTGTAAGAAACATTGTTCGCAAGTTAGAGTTAACTAAGAATCTGTAAATCGGCTTGTCCAAACGTAACGCTGTTACGTTTTTGACACAGTTTTTTTCGATTATCTCGGAAACGGTGCGAGCTAAATAAATCATTCAAACGCCATTCGACGCAGCTCGTCTTACTCTATTTATGATATCAAAATGAAAATTTTTGCTTGAATTTTCGAACTTCTAGAAAGATTTTTCTATCACGTAACACTGTTACATAAAAAGACCCTCACTTTGGAGTGCTCGCGCTTAAACCTTAATTTCCTGCGAATGTTTCCGCCTAAATGAAATGCTCTCAGCATAACTTTTATAGAGCTTCAAACGGGCTTTTTAATAGTAAAAAGATTTCCCTTCTAGTTACTTTTACTCGCTTAAAAAATTCAAAAAACGAACGTAACGCTGTTACGTTTTTCGTAACGCTGTTACACTTTTTTTTTGGTAAATTGCCATATGCTCTTTATTTGATCTGCATTTGTCGCAATCAGTTATTTTAACTTCGAAAGAACCGTTTCTATTGCCTTTACTACTAAAGATCACGCTGATCCATACAAACAACTTTGTTGGACCTCGATCAGATTAAAAATTTCTGCTGAAGCAAACCATACTTCTGTCATAGTTTCTAAACTTTATACGGAGACTCTTAGCCACTAGAGTTTATGTGGGTACCACCTACAACAATAGTGTTGATCCAGCTCGGGACGGAGACCCGGTCTCCATTGAGCTGGGTATTTTTTTTTTGTTTTTTGAATATTTCTATATATGAAAATTTTTCATTTTTTTAGCCTACATCAGTAAAATTCTAATTAAGCGAATATCTTTCTACCTTTCATTATTTATCTAAACGCACGCATCAAAAGAAAAATAAAATCTGAAAGAAGTACTAGAAATAAAAATTTCAACTCAATATTTTACAGTTTTTTTTTGAAAACATGAAGAATAATAACGAAATTCTAATGTATTATTATCAACTACTTTAACTGAATGCATTTTGAGTGTTTCTGGAATACTTTTTGCTGTTTTGAAAATACTTTCAAGTTTATTTTTTGAGTTATCAATATTGTTTTTCGTGATTTCAATAAGAATTACTTTCTTAGTTTTTTTCTTTGCAATTTTAATAAAATCTTCGGCTGATCGACATACTCCTCCTCCTAATATAGCTGACCAGACAAGACGTTTGACAGTTCCGCCGATACCATCAACAACACCTTTTCCATGAGAAGTTGCAAAAAAGTGCCAACTCAAAGCAATATTATGTTCATTAGCTATCTGTACTAAATTACGAAAATGAAACCGTTGTTTAAACTGTGAAGCAGCACCATCAGAAAAACAATCTACTACTTTAATATTTGGAAGAATTGTTACAATATGATTCAAAATGATTTCCAAAGCTGCATCAACAACAAACTTATCATGTGTTATATCCGATGATGGTAAAGCAAAAGCAAAATTTTCATTTTTTGACCAAACATAAGCAGTAAATATACTCAATGGTTTTGAGTTCCAATGAGCCTTCTGAATTTCATCTTGTTCTTTCATATTAAAATTCTCGGCAAAATCAACTTGCAATACAATCTTTTCGTCACTAGCTTCCTCTTTCAATTTTTCAAAAAACTTTGATTGCTCTCGCTTAATATAAACATGAAACAAAAAATATTGTACTTTGGACTTCAACAGCAATACTGCTTCATCAACACTTCCTGAAAAACCTTTTTTTTCGGCACAACCGTTTTCATTTATCCATTGTGACCAAGTAATTTTAGCATTACCATCTGAAACGTTTTCCTCAACTTTTTCTGTAAAGAAATCTTCACATAGTGAGCAAGAACTAAACATACATTCTTCATTATTTGTACTACAAACTAAACTATCAGTAAAAATTTGCAAAGATGAACAGAATTTTCCATCAACATATTTATCAATAGATTTCAAAAGTAAACCAATATTTTCATGATATAAACACAAACAATTCCTATGAGCCAAAGCAGCTTTTGGAACAACAAATGGTGGTCTCAATTCAGCAAATGACGTACGATTTAATAAAACATTTTTATTCTCTTCTTTGAACAATTCATAATTTTCACGTAAATTATTAAACAAAATTCTTTTTTGATAAGTTACTTTACTTCCATCATCCTCTTTAACAACAACTGTATCTCTTTTACCTGGCAATTGATATGAAACATCATCTCGCAAGTAGAAATTATGTACGTCATTTTTTAATTTATCGGCAAGTTGCTGTGTAGTACGTTTATGTGTAGATTTACGAACTAAACCAACACTTTGAGCAATATGTTGAATGATAACTTTTTTCTTTAAGCCGCATTTAGGAAGCGATGAATTTACTTTTTTTAAAGCCTTACCAAATGATTGCCGGCTCTTGAAAGAACTCGGAAAAGGTTTATCAATTAAACTTTGTTTTTTATTTTCTCGAAATTTTGTTGACGCATTTTATTTTCAGCACGAAATTTAGCCAAGCTCGCTCCTCTTAATACTGTTCTTATTGAATTATTACGAGCACGAGCTTTTGCCTTCATTGCCTCGTATTTAACTTTATCCTTTTTAATTTTTTCTCGATATTTTTTCATTCTTTCAGCATTGGTCATAGCCATGTCAAAATCACAATAGTAAAAAAAAACAATTACCGACCTTAATCAAATAAATGTAACTGATAATTCGAAATAATGACAACAGAAAAGGAATTTTTAACGTAGTTTTTTTGTATAACGACTTATTTTTATTGAAAAGATAGAACTGATCCTTCTCTTCTCTCCTCGTCTATTTATACGCTGTAAACAAACAAGATAAAATTGTGAGAGAAAAGAAAGAAAAAAAATAATCTAACGTCTTTACACGATAAAGGAGGAAAGCGTGTCGACTTGATCGATATAGGCATTTTTTGCCGTCAAGTGATAAAAACGATCATTTTCTTATTTTGAACGTCTATCATCTGCCTACTAGAGCTATGTGAAAGGTCATTTAGTGCAGAATTTGACTTTAAGTCCGAGTATATATGTCAATTGTTATGATTGTAATTAACCTAAGCTAAAAATATCGGAGAATAAATAGAAATTAAGACTATTTAAAGAAACTTCTCTTTATATAAGCAAACCAACGGTCGAAATCAAGAGTATATTCTACGTAATGATCATTCCAAATATATAATATTGAAATATTTGCTGAATTATATAAACTGAAAAATAATGCAAATAATCAGGTTTTCGTAACAGCGTTACGTTTATCTACCTCATAGTACGATATTTTTGAGAAATAACTAGTACATCAGAATCGCCATGAAAAGTTAGTAATAATCCATTCATTCTTACACCAGTATTATGTACGTAACTTACAATAATTCTAAAATAAGGTCTTATCGTAACGCTGTTACGGCGATATTGATCAAGTATTATTTTGCGAATTTCTCAATATGAGAAAAAGGAAAGACGACTATTCTTTTGCCAAAAGAAAGGCTATAGTTGATAGTCTGCAAGACATTTGAAAGCGGGGATTCAGAGTCAGACATTAAGATGTATGGTTAGTTCCAAAGTAATACAAAAAAAAGTGCAATAGACAATACTACAATTGATGTTTAGTGTATACGTTTCAACAGACTCATAGAAATAGTTTTTTGAATAACAAAATACATTTTTGTACACTTCCGAGCCTGCTCTACAACCTGACATAAACAAGTATTTCGAAGCCTGAAATAAATACTTAATATCTGAAGTGTCGCGTTACGCGGACAAGCCGAAATACACTAATTGTAAACTTAAGGAAGCAATGATTTTCGTGTTAGTCGTTCGTAGCGAAGTAATTTCTATACTATTTTTTTTTAAAGATCTAATTGGTTGTTCTTATAACGAAGAACAACTAAATAGAAATATGTATTACATTTTAGTAATGAAGAAAAAAAATTTCGGATATAGTCTTATCAATAATGAAAATAAAGTTTTTCTTCAAGAAAAATCATTATTTATCATAAGCATCCCTCAATTTCAAGATTAAAACTATTCACAAAAACAAGAGAACGTCACGAACTAATCAATTACTATTTAAATTTTAGTAATGCCAACTTGTAGATCTTGCTAAGTTATTAACTGATATAATAATCATTCGGGCCAATGAGGCGACTGCAGAATAAGTATTTGATAATCAAAGTTTCCATTAACCTGTCCATACTCGATAGTGGTCCTATAGAGGCCCTATACGACCTCTGTAGGCTCCCTATAGAACTACTGTAGCGAGTCCATATAGAAGCCCTATAAGACTGCTATAGAGCCTCTATAGTACTCTGCAAGCCCCCTATGCGGTTCCTATAGAACATTATAAACCTCTATAGAATCACTATAGGGCATCTATAGGACCACTATAGGGTATGAACAGGTTAATAGAAACTTTGATTATCAAATACTTATTCTGCAGCCGCATTGTTGACCCGAATGATTATTATATTAGTTAATAACTCAACAAGCTCTACGAATTGGCATTACTAAAATTTAAATAGCGATTGATCAGTTCGTGGTGTTCCCTCGTAAGAATTCTTTTTTCTTTGATAGCTTGATATGAGACAGTAGTCTTTTGCATATAGTTGAATAGATTTATTTCTATCAGATTATTTAGATAAAAACAAATAAATAGTTTTTAATTGGTCATAACTTAATTAAAATATTTGGTATAGGTCCACCCGTATAATTTTTATAAGGATATAATTGATCGTTTTTCTTCTTCCATATCCATGTTATGGGATCAATAATAGTCAATTCTTTTCCACCCATTTTATTTACATATATGTGACGAGTTGCTTCATTAGTCGTTTGTGCTAATGCATACTGAAATCCTCGTATATTTCGAGCATATTCACATAAAATTGTACGTAGTCGAGTAGCTACACCTTTACCTGAATGTTTTGCTCGAGTTGCACCCATAACAATCTGTAAAACTATGTTTGGTTTCAGTTCTTGTTTAAAATCTTGATGAATAAATATATCATCCATTTCTTCTAATAAATCAAAATATGGAATTAATGATGGAGCACTCGATGGTTCGTATGGATGTTTTTCCTGTGCTAGATAAAGATCACATGCACAAATAGTAGCGACAATTTCACCTGATTGGTGATGTCGTGCGAGAAATGATAATCGTTCGTTGAATATTTCAGCCATTGTCGGCCATGTATCTTCATCAAACATATACTGTGGTGTTAATTGGTCAAAAATAATCATTGAATTACTGGCAACAAATTCTTCAGCTAATAATTGAGCGCATATACGCGCGTCATTCTCATTATCGATTACCTCATAGTTATATTCGTCAGAAGTACTCATTTTTTTCTCGATGCCTATATATACACAGAAAAAAATGCTTATTGTGTGTTCGTGGCATATGTTAATACTTTTTTTTCTTCCTTTCGTTTACTGTAGTAGTTTTATCATTTTATCTCAATGTTGTTACAATGAGTCATAAGATTTAGACGACATTTTTTTTCTCTACAATAGAGGAAAACCATGATTTACATAATTACATAAAATAACATCGATGCTCTTTAAATTTTAACCTGAATACGATGGTTGTCATAATCGAAAGAAATTCAACAGTGCCTTATATATACATATTATACATGCAATTGTTGTATCATAGGTGTGGTTTTAAAAATAGAAGAGCCAAAAAGGTGCGGGTGTGGGTGTGGCTATGAATGTGAATGTAGTTTAAGTGAAGAACAACATCCACGTCTCCCACACCCACCCAAGTAGCTACGGTCAACAAGCTGTATCATTTTTCTCTTATATATATGCTTGCCATATTTTTTTTCTTTTGTGCAGCAAGAAAATAACAACAAACAATCTAAAGAGAAAATCGCAAGAGAAACACGATTATTATAATATATAAACAAAGATAATGCTTCTTTTTTCTCTTTCTTTCATTGAAAAATGAAAGAAAGACAAATATGTAAAGAACTATAATAAATAAAAATGCATTTCAATGTTCTAATATTTTACACAAAACATGTTCAACGGTATTTTTACACTATTGCAAGTTTTTCTTCTGTGTTTTACAAGTTTACTGATTCACATTGGTACCTCTAATCCTAATGTTAATTCTACTAATGACTATGTTCCATATGAAGGCATTTTTTCATCATTTGTGGCGTGTATTGTACCAAAAATTGGCAAGCTTCTCATATGGACTTCAACATTATATCAAATGTTATATTTACTCCTTCAAGTTTTTTCACCGACGTTCATTTCAACATTTTTTCCACAAATACCAACATCAACTGATCTCTTACAATTTAATCCAATGTCAATGATTGGATATATCCTCGTAATCGTGGGTGGTTTGGGAAGAATCTGATGTTATAGAACATTAGGAGCATTTTTTACTTTTGAAGTAACCATTCGAAGTACACATAAATTAATCAAGACTGGTCCATATGCTTGTGTACGACATCCATCGTACACGTTTGTATGTATCTTAATTTGTGGAATATTTCTAGTTCACCAACGTTTGACAGATTTTTTTCCTAATCAAACATGGTTAAAAGTTATGTATAGTCCAATTGGAATTTCAATGTTTTACCTGTTCGTAATGCTGATTGTCGCAAGACGTGTCAAATTTGAAGAAGAGGAATTAGCAAAGAGATTTGATAGTGAATGGACTCAATATGCATCGCAGAGGAAAAGATTTATACCAAAAATTATCTAATACATACGCAGTCGCAGTTTTGAAAAAAAAGTCCTTAACGCACTTGAGCTTTACTTATATTTTAAGCTTTAGTCTTCAAACTTTGAATAATTGTACACAGTAATAAATATTGATTGTAGATAACAACAACAACAGCTCGACATCAATTCAACGTAATACGATAGAGTTATACACAAAACACTATCATTATCATAGACTACTTCTATGTGAGTCATAAAAACACTGCAGATTGGAAGAAATCCATCATTCGAAAGTCTGATTCGGTAGATGCTATCATGTCAGGATTACTTACGAAATCTCAATGGTGATAATTTTCATAATTACAAATTGCAAACCATTATCATCGACATTCGGTAGGTGTCCCTTGACGTTGTAGTAACTCATGAATCAGGGTGTGAATGTGGCTGGGTATGGGTGTGAGTCTTTCTCTAACAATTACCCAGACCGACACCAATACACACACCAAAAATGTGCCTGATTTTCTTGTATGAATGGGTAAGATACCTTTTATCAATGTCCTCTTATTCTAAGTAAATGATTTCACAGGCAGAGAAATGTTCACTACATAGACGTTCTGATTTCGCCAGATCAAGATTATCAACATTGATGGACTAATTTTCACATTATTTTCTTTAAATTATAGGATTAGCTGGCAAACGAAACAATGCAGTTTTACGTCGGCCTTTGTCAATATCATTGAACTTTTTCCGATAGTCTATAACTATACAACTAGTCATAATGTAAACAACAATACATATTTTCGTTGTATATACGAAAAAACATACTGAATTTGAATACGAGTTATTCACTAATAAAGATATTTAAAATATTTTAGTTTTAAGTTGCACATCTCGTTTGACAATAAATGGAATATGACAAGAAAAATCAAGAAAACAAAACTGAAAGTTGAAAATCTATTTGTGTTACACTGTTAAAAAAATAATCTTCAAATTTTAACATTCGAGAACATTCTATTGTTTCCTTTCCTAAATTTTTTTCTACATTTATTTGCTACTACTATAAAATAATACTGATTATTGAATATTAATCTTTGATTCATTTATATAAAAAAAGCATAAACAAATTAAAAGTGAAGCAACGAAATTTTCACCACCATAAATGTAAATCTTTTTTGATATATTTAATAGAATAATTTTTTTTAATTGGAGTTTTTGTTGGTTTTAAACATAGTCTTGGTACGTCCGAAATACATATATAACATAAAGTTCGTGCTTTTTTAATGATGTTTCGATAATAAGAATTGAATTATTCGTTCAATATATTTTTTTTATTCATCTCAATTTTGAGATATTTTAATCTTGGAAATAAATCAACAATACATTTTATACCGTTTCATGAGGGTGTGGGTGTGTAGCGGGTGTGGCTGTGGCTGTGATGTGAGCGTGGGTGTGAGTGTGAATCAGTCTGTATCAACAGTCTCACCCACACCCACAATCACACTCACACTCACACTCACACTCACACCCTCACACCCCACACCTACCCCACCCACACCCACATTCACATCCACACCCACCCACACCCTTGCGAAAATAGATTCATTAACGAAAAAAAATATGACGGTTTGGTCAATTATTTAAAGAATAAGTGGAGCATCAGAGGAAGAGATAGAGAATTATTTCGATTAGTATGTTCAAGTATTTATCACCTCAAGATGAAAAATAGTGGATACGTAGAGCTTGTTTTTATGCAAAAGTGCATGAAAGTTTCATATTCTCTTTCTCGTAGAGAAGAGTCTTGAGAACATAAATTGTTTGCTTGCTTGCTTGTATGTGCGCACTTCAGTGATTGGTCCAAAACAAAGTGAAGATAAAAGAAATTATTTTCCTCAAAGCTTGACCGAAAGGTAATCGGAGGTGGAAAGTTCGAATCTGAAGTTAGTTTTAATTAATTATTAACTAATTATTCATTCACTAATGATAACTATTAATATAATTCTATAAGACTCGTCCATAGTTGGCCAGGGGTTACAAATCCAAATCTGAGGAGTATTTTAATTGGTTAATAATTGATCGATAATCAATTGATTATTATTAGCAATGTTTTTTCAAAAAATTGACTAAATGGAAGGGGGGCTATCCAATACGGATCAGCGATCGATTTTAATTAATAACGTATTATTGATGAATGATTACTTCTTTGTGTTTTCGATAGAACTTGATTGAAGGTAATCGAGGTTGGGTAACCTAAATCTGGAATCTGCCTTGAATTATTAATCATAGACATTTTTACGACACTTCAAAGGGAAAATTTGTGATCAGTACTGGCATCCATAGTCTCTTGGTTTTTTACTAAGAACTACTATTATTCGTGTTTTTTTGCCGAAATTCACCAAAGAATTGTCGAAAGAAAAAATAAGGATGTAGAGAAGTTTGTATTAATAAGCTAGCGATGCTAAGGAGTAGTAAAATGCATTAATGTCACCATAGTTTATAGAAAAACTTCAGTTGAGAAAATTTTGAAAGATGAATTTCAATCTGGAGCTAGCTACTATTCCTTATGTTGATTAGTGAAAAATTTGAGAAGCGTCCATAAACGGCGCTTCTACGCGAAAGAGTTGAGCGAGTGCACTGACGAACGTTACTTGCTTAGTATTTGCTTGATATTAAATATAAGAATGTTGAAACTGTTTTTTATCTATTTTGTTCGTATTTATGTTTTTATCTCGAGAAAAATAAGAAATGATACTCAAATATCGTTTTGAGAAGGATTGAAGCAAGGTGAGAAAAATCATAAAAATAGAGAAAATTTCTTTAGACTAATTTTTCTCGACAAATGAATTGATAATCTTGTTGTATTCGACAAAAATCAAATGAATGTCTTTTCGGTTTCACAATTAATTCATTTCAAATCCGATAAATAATTTCGACTCTTCCGCCAGTTTCTCGAAACTTTGAACAATCCTTCTATTGTCGTATAAGAACTGCTTGTATTGTGCCTCGATTTTGTACGATATTTTTTCCATGAAAATTTGATCGAGAAACACTAAACTTATCAATGTATGATTATTAAAAATGAATAATTATTTAATATCGAATAAATTTTGAGTAAAAGAATAAATAGTTTCATCACACAAAAGCAAGTGTCTTTTGCATACCTAATAAGCCGAATAAAAGCAAATGAAGCAGCATTGATATTCTAGAGAGTTCATTCAAATCTATGTTACCGGATGCACATTTCGCAAGAAACATGGACATCGTCCTATAATCCATCGCAAGACTCGTAATGTACGCCAGACAGAAACACTTAAGACTACAGTCAATCCACCATATAATCCAAGCAGTGTTGTAAATACGTATATGGCATTATTTTTCTCAGTGTAATAGTATTGACATATCGACGGAGCACATGACTGGAAATAAAAAGAATAAGATGTTGAATAATTCCATGTCTCTATTAGATTCTCTTCTAAAATTTTGCCGATTGGAGTCGTTGGTAAGAATCGTGTTGCATTACGATTGAATTTAGTAAAAGAAACAGATAGAAGTCGATTCATTTTATCCACACAAATATCATCATAGTAACACTCAAATGTAGATTGTGTCAGACTACTCATGACCGAACATCCAACCACAAAGCCTAAATATATCACAAATCAAATAGAATGATTGTAACTTCCATAAATCATTAGGAAATAATAGAATTTTATTAGAAGAAAACTAATCCGAGTACTCACCAGGTAATATTGTTGGTTCACCCATGTCATCATAAAAGACAAGCGTCTTTGTACAATTTGACTTGCCACTTCCGCAAAAACAACTACCATTCATGAATGAAACCGGTTGCATACGAAGAATATAATTTTCTTCGAAACTGGAAAATTCTGTTTTCCAACTGGTCATATATTGATTTTGAAATTGATTAGCTTGAAGCATATCTGAGATCCAATCGACTTCATGGTTGATGATGTGTAAATTATATAAATAAAATTCATTTATTGACATGCTAAGCAATGTATTGAAAGTTTGTTCTGTCATTGGTTCTGTCGATATGAAAGTTCTAACTGTATTAGACAGGATGCCGTTTAGAACTAAGTTTACAGTTGCACAGCGGAAATCTAGAGCCATCAGTTGAGTTCCGATGAAAATAGAATTAAAGTCTTTCCACGGAGTGCTTTTTGACAATAAATAGTATGTTACGGCACCTGCTGCAAGTTGATCACAAATTTCATGATAATCCACCCAAGCATTATCTATTAAATAATTGTAACTAATAGACATTTTTTGTACAAGGACATGATAAACTATCAGAATAATGAGCATGAAGAAATGAGAAATATGTCTCATTCGGTGATTCTACATAAATGATTGTTGTACGATGCTGAAATCGTATGAATATTGAAATGATCAGCAAAGATAATAATAGAAGGATAAGATAGATACGTGTTGCCAAAATTTGATGTTCGATTTCAGGTTTATTTTGATACAAATTTATGGAAAAAAGTTTATCTCGAAGATGACCAATCAGCCTTCGATGTGTACGAATATCTAGAATAATTTTTAAAAGTTGAATATCTATAAAATAAAGTTTACTACCTCGTGTTCTGTTCAAATACATATGATAAATTTCATGAATAATTTTGAACAATAAGGGAATAAGAAGCTGCAGTATAACAGTCAATCCTCCGATAAGTCCAACAACAGTATTAAAAATAGAAATCAGATGAAGTTTCTCATTCATCGTGTACGTACACATTTCTGGCTGACATTGAGCATAATACGAATCATAATCTGCCATGTCGATCCATGCATTTTCTAGAATGTCTGTTATAATAGTAAACAAGAGATCATCAGAAGAAAACATGTGCAACTTTTCCGGATCAATCATAGTTATATTATTGAAATCAAGTGATAAATAGAAATCTTCGCAACCATACAGACGCTTGTCGATTAGCATCTGAATACATGATGACTCAAAAAGACAATAAAGGGAGCTATAAATAATATCTAAATATTGACAACCAAAGTACATGCCAGGTACAGTTACATTTGGTTCAGAACCCGTCTGTAGACATGATGGTGAAGAGCAATAAAAACCGATCGGTTGCATACACCCACTCTCTGCATAACAAGAACAGACCTCAAAATTTGCCGTAAATAAACTACCTGGAACATAATATAATTTCAATGTATTATCGATCTGTTTGGAGATCAATATAAGATTGGGGAAATCAAATGTAACAAAATTATTCGGTCGAATACCCACGGAAAAAAATTCTAACCAATACCGCTGTTAACCGCGTTTTTTTGTAAAGACCGCCGGTTTTTCCTTATAAACCGCGATTTGATAAAAAAGACCGCAATTAACCTCGGTTAGTTACACCGCAGTCACAACTTACCGCGGTATGCTCAAACAAGGTGGCGGTTGCTTCTATCGCTGAAAACCGTGGTTCCAGAAAGCCTCGGTATGTTCAAAACGAATTGCGGTATCTCAAATCGCCATTTTTCACGGTTTTATATTTTGCGAAAACCTTCTTATAAACCACGATTTCTGGATACCTTTGAAATACACGATTAGTCAAACCACAATAATCGCAGTTCGATAAAATATTGCTTTTTTATTAGTCAGAAACTTTCTGATTAACATTACAGTTCGACTCTATAAAGCACTGTTGTTACGACAAAATGTTTTAAAACGCAATTACAATTACCGGATGGGACGAATCATGATATTCGGATTAGGTTTTCATTTCTGTTAATTTCAAATAAATTAAAATTAACAGTAATTCATTTTTTAATTTTAAACTATGAAGAAAATAAAAGTAAAATTTATTTCAAATTAAAATAACTGTTAATTTAATTTACTTATAAATAAAAGCTGGCATACCTATAAAGAATAGTTCGCCAAAATTTTTTCAAAGTCTCAAATGAGAAAAGAATTTAAAGCATCTCGCTAACCAGAAACTCACTTTTGGCTCTTCTTTAACAAACTCATTTTGATACCAAGTGCGATCCTTTGGTAGATTAGCTCCTGTTTGTTGAATAAAAATTCTAATACATAGTTTTAGATAAATGTAATGTTGTATAAATAAGTTTAATGCATGAGATTTGAATCAAATTTATATGTGAAATACTGGAAATGTAAAAGAATTAGTTTGGTTAATGAATAAATTTATTTTAATCGGAATTTTCGATCTTAATGCATTAATCTTATTTATACATAATTATTATGAATGTTAGTATATCACAAACATGAGCTATAAAAGCAGGTATATAAGTATGCATAGTGAGTAAATCTAATTGGTGAAATATTGATATTTTAATCTATGTTAATTTCTGATTATTATTCTATTAAAATTATCAGTTATACATTGAATACTTCGCAGAGATTTACATGTTTCCATCGTTTATGATGTTCAAGTCATTGATGTCCAAGTTAATGCAATCTGCATATATATTCGAGTGTTTTTCTTTACTTATTTTATATTTGAATATATATTTTCTGTTGTAACATCCATTTTTCACAGTTTTCTGGTATAAGGTTGAAAATAATCGTCAAGTAAGTTAAGATCGAAAATTCCGATTAAAATAAATTTATTCATTAACCAAACCAACTCTTCTACATTTCCAGTATTTCATATATAAATGTAATGTTGAAATACAAAAGTTTAATTTCTAATTTTAGAAATAACAAAATTAAAATATTTTAACTTAAAAAAAAAACTAAATTTATTATAATAAACATTTGCTTAAAATTTAAATTACTCAACTTAATTTAATATATGAGAAAATATAAATAGACACAATTCGTTGCAATTAATGCAAATAATTATTTAAAAATATAACAATACCACAGGAAAATTTTAAGATTTTAAAGAAATCCTCTACTTTGTTGTTTACACACAATTATCTTAGACTTTTTAAGTTAAATCAGAAAGAGTATTGTATTTGATGCTTCTATGAACATCGCCATATGGTTCAATGGAATTATGGAACTGTGATTATAAGGTAAGGAGTTCGAATCTCACTTGAGGCAAAAAATATTTATATGATCAGTGGTATTGTACAAGCTGATTGCGATATTAGATCACCAGAATGAGACCGAAGCTGCACCGCGATCCCAGCTAGTGAACAACTAGGATAGATGTCATTTTTTTTTAAAAACCGTTCAAAACCGTGGTTTCTTCAAACCGCGATTTCAGACGGTGTGTATAAACCTAATAAACGGTCTGACTCCCGCGGTTCGTTTTAACCGGTCAGAAACGCGACCTTTTAAACCGCGATTCGTAGCGGTATTTGTTGAAAAATTTTTCCGTGGGTAGTTGCATCGAGAAACTTGATTTTATTCGACAATGTACGGCGAATCTAGATGAAAAAGTACACTCAAATAAGTTATTGTCAAATTATATTTTAAATCTTTTTCTACCTCCAATTCCAGATGCGAGCTCCATGCGTTAGTTCTTTGAATGAACTCAGTCTTTCCTATAGGTTCAGAAGTGAAAAAATTGCCCTCTTGATATACATTCAAATAGTAAGAAGCGGTTTGAGTGATCAAATCACAGAATATTCTGACATAATTAAAAATTTTCAATCCATTTTTTCGAAAATCAGCCCAGTGATAAGAAGGAACAGGATCAATAGTACCATTGAGAAATTTCATCGTCCAATATTCAAACCAATGTTCGTCACGAATAAAAGAACTCATACAGACTGGATGAAATTGTATTTCATTGTATGAGAATGTTAAGAGTGGTATTGATGTACGACGACATGAGCATGATAGAATCGATGAATACATTTTATTAAGCTCTTCGAATTGGCTCGAATTTGGATTTTGAATGATAATTTTTATTGGAATAGTTAGTGAAACAGAATAGATGGTCAAAATCAAAATACCAAACAGCAAAAATATGATATATATTCGAGTAGAATAAATACCATGCTTGACATTAGTGAAAGTAGTCTTAAATAAATTTAATGTAGTAGCTTTCAAATAAACGAATCTGGCAATTTTCCATAAACGATCATAGCAACCTAGAACAATAAAAAAAATAAGAAGGGGCAGACATCTATTGAAAAGACTAATTTTACTTATGTTTAATTTATCTCTTTCCTCAGTCTCAATCGTAGAAACTTGTCGGTAACATAAGCGCCGAAAACATTTAACAGTCAATGGAGATACGATATTAAACACTTTACTCAATCCACCAACAAGACTAGTCACAACTGTAATTATATATATAATATAGAAACGTTGTTTATAAGAATAGGTACAAGTTTTGGGCGCACAAATCCGAAAATAGGCAACAAAATCCGTAGAATTATGCCAGGATTCGAGCATTAATTGATCAAAAATAATACTGAGAGTAGTTGTTGGATCAAATCGAGAAAAATTTGACATGTTCAATGCACGGACAGTAGGAAGAGCACCAGTTAATTTAATGACTATATCCAAACATGATTGATTATAAAAACATTCTAATGTCGATTGAAGCAAAGCATTTTGAGGTACACATCCTACTTGAAATCCTGGCACAACAAATTGAAGTGATGCATCATGTATAAATACTTCATTAGGAATAATGACTTTTGACTGATTATAGATACCAGCAGGATAGATACAGCTACTTGTCTGATCACATCGGCATATTCCATTTGATATAAAAGATGATTGTGTTAAATTTACGTTTTTTGGATAGATAGCAGGAAATGTTTCATATTTGTCACTATCAGGAATACTTCTTGTATAGAAATTGGTGCGTAATGCAGATATAAACCGATGTTCGTCAATAATAGAAGATATAAAATTATTGTATATACGATGATTTGTAAGAGTTGTTGTATTGAATTGTTGGAAAAGTGTAATCATATAATCATTGTAAACAGCGCGTGTTAGAGCACGTGCAGAAAAAAATGATGTCGTATAAAAATCACTAAGAGCATCATATATGGTTTGACGTGATATTCGGCAGAGAAGAGATAAAATTTGAAATTGTGCAGAGGCCATTAGACGAAAGTCTAATGGATAATAATTGTTTGTTAATGTATTGAACAAAGAGGAAAACCATTCTTCATCAATTAAATTACTCGAACAAACTTGATGAAATTGTGGATTGAATGAAAATAATTCTTTATGATACATCGTTGCTTGAGAGCAATGACAAATAATTGTAGATCTGTAACTGTCAGCTAACTTCTCGAAATTATTAGGAGATGGTAAAGATACAGTAATTAAACGAGTTTGAGGAATGATACTTGCAAATGAGATCGTAATGAAGAGAGTTATTAAAAGAGATACAACGTAAACACGTGTAGATAAGAGTTGTTCAAATAAAGACAATTCATTGTCAGTGTCATAGAAATTCAAAGTTTTAATAAGATGCATTAATCGATTTTGATATTGAATACCAATATTGGCTGTGGTAGCCATTATTCTAGAACAATATTTCTTTATCAAACAATATTTAACTTGAATGCATGTCTACAGATCAAAATAGAGTTTATTTGCATCAATGCATAACCATTAAATTTATTTCTTTTGTAATTATTCTGAAGAAGCGTACGTCATTTACCAGTCATGAGGAAATTGTTTGGCAAACATAAACTAATGAGAGAAAGTCATTGAACTATGCTTCTCGTGTACCGTATGTTTCCATTATACTAATTTTAAACTTTTCTCTTAACTAATATTCTTTTCACTTTTTTTCATGTTGAGTTTCTAATTGCTTTTTCTTACTTATTTACTGATATTTCTATGTAGAAAAACTTGACTTCTTACTAGAAAGTAATGTATTCATTACAGTCAGACTTTTCTAAACAAACTATGCAGGGAATTTATGCATACAAATGCTTCATTAAAATGTTGAATCAACTTCTAGATAAATGCATAGAATTTTTCAACTGAACAATATTCGAAATGTAATATAACAATATGGATTCATAAAATATTGAAAGAAGTTTACGTTTTTTTATATAAAAAGCAAAACTTGTCCATTGTTCAAGAAATTTTGCTTTCTTATTTTCTAATTGTCTTCATTACTTTATCAACGTCTCAACCGATGAAATTGTTTCTATTGTAAAAAGAGAGTTACATATGAACTATTTTTTTTTTCCAAATAACTATATCAGGGAAACAAGTCAAGCTCTCCTCCACGTGGTGTTTCCTGGATAACGCTAACGAGCCTCTGCAAACCTCTCATGATGTATACAACAAATAATAATCGTACCTCGCCCGGATGTGGGAAACCGGGGCATGTTCCTGGAGCCAGGCCTGGGGACAGAGCTCATATGCGAGCGTCTGGTGGTCGATCGATCACTGGTACCCGTAGATCGACCGGGATCAACTCGAAAAAGTTACGGGAACCAACTACTCAACATCAACAAACGACTAGCGATGGTTTCGCCAACTGTCCTAGAAGACATGGGGGGTCGGCGCAATGCCTAAATGGCACGTTCAGTAGAACTAAACATCAACATCAACAACGTCAATGCAAAATGAAGATTGGTACATGGAATGTAACATCACTAACTGGCAAAGAATTTGAATTAATCGAAGAAGCCAAAAAATATCAACTCGACATACTTGGAATTTCATCAACGAAACGGAAAGGCCAAGGAACATTGGCTTTGAACAATGGGTGGCAATTATTTTATTCCGGCGTCGATCAATCAACACATGCACAAGCAGGAGTAGCAATACTCTTAAATCCACTTTTAGCGGATGCAGTTCTGGAATGGAAACCAATCAATGAAAGAGTTGCTCTTATAAGACTTCAGCTAAAGGCAACAACACTGACAATTATTCAAGTTTATGCACCTAATATTGAAGCAGATTATATGGCATTTCTTGATACAGTTCTTACAGCCATGGAAAGTGTTCCAATGAAAGATTTTATTTTATTTTTAGGAGACTTCAATGCACATGTTGGAAACGACTCACAGACATGGAATGGCGTGATAGGACTAAATGGTGATCAAGATCTCAATAACCAAGGCCGATGCTTATTGGACTTCTGTGCAACAAGTGGATTATCGATAATGAATACTTTCTTCCAGCACAAGAACATCCACAAATATACATGGTACAAGACAGGAGGGTCGATGGCTCAGCGATCATTAATCGATTTCGTCATTGTATCTCAGAACCTACGACGAGCAGTGACGGATGTACGTGTCAAAAGGGGAGCAGAACTATCAACTGACCATCACTTGGTTGTTTGTATTTTAGAAATATCGTCGAATCATCCAATAAGAAAAACCAAATCAAAGAAAATTACCAGAATAAGATGGGAAGCATTGGCGGATGAGGAAGCCAGACGAAAATTTGCAAAAGAGGTGAACCAACGATATTCTCAGCTACCATCGAAGGAGACCGATATTGAATTGGAATGGTTTCTATTTCGTACAGCACTGATGGAAGCTGCAGCAGAAGCTTGTGGAACAAAGCAAATTGGATTTCAACATGGACAGAAGAAAACGGCATGGTGGAATGAACAAGTTCGCAAGGCCATTAGTGAAAAGAAAACAGCATATCGTCAATGGATACAACGGCAAACACCAGAAAATTGGCAGAACTATTAACAACTACGAGACCATGCAAAGAATCTTGTGGCTGAAGCAAAAGCAAAGTCGTGGGAAGATTTTGGTCATCAACTGGAATATAACCACTACGCAGCGAACAAATTGTTTTGGCAAACTATCCGTCGACTCCGTAAAGGTGGACAGAAATGGACACGTTCAGTTAAAGATTCGTCTGGTCGACTCCTGATACGAGAAGAAGACATTATAAATAGATGGAAAGAATATTTTGCAGACCTTTACAATCCGCCGTCTGAACAACACATCAAACCAAGTGAACTTAGGCTGAATGAATCTGATGAATCTAATGATATTTCTCTGGCCGAAGTCACAACAGCTATCAAATCACTTAAAGCCGGCAAAGCTGCAGGAGTAGATGAAATGAGACCAGAAATGTTAAAATCTCTCAACTTTGGTGGTATACGATGGCTTACCAGAATCTGTCAGGTGGTGTGGAAAACCGGCAAAGCTCCAGCGGATTGGCAGACAGGTATCGTTGTTCCAATTTTCAAAAAAGGAGACCAGAAAGATTGCTCAAACTACAGAGGAATCACTCTGCTAAGTCTTCCTGGCAAAGTCTTCGCCAGAGTAATCGAACGAAGATGTCGAGAAATAGTGGAACCACAGATTCAAGAAATTCAATGTGGCTTTCGTTCAGGAAGAGGAACAATGGATCAAATCTTTACACTACAACAAATACTGGAGAAGTCATGGGAATTTGCTAAACCAGTTTATACATTATTCATCGACTTGGAGAAGGCTTATGATCGAGTACCACGCAACACACTTTGGGAAGTATTAATGGAATATGGAATTCATGGTCGTCTCTTGGCTGCAATTCAATCTTTATACAACAACTGCAAGGACTGTGTTCGAATAAATGGTAGGAAATCAGAATCTTTCCAGGTGAAAGTTGGACTTCGACAAGGGTGTGTATTATCCCCGTTATTATTTATGGTATTTATGGACAAGATATCTCGAACAAGTACCAACCCAGCCTGTGTCGAGATCGGTGATGTAAAGGTGGATTCTCTTCTCTTTGCTGATGATGTTGTTCGCCTCGCAGCATCAGCAAATGATCTACAAAATGCTCTCGACCGATTTGAAGAAGTGTGTTCGGCCTTTGGTATGAAGATCAGTTCGAAGAAAACAGAATTAATGGTGATTTCAAGAGAGTCCCATCAATGTACACTTCAATTGAACAACAATCAACTGGATCAAGTGAACAAATTCAAGTATCTAGGTGTGCAATTCTCAAATGATGGAAAACAGGATGGTGAAATCGATCGACGAATAGGTGCGGCAAGTGGAGTCTTACGCTCATTATATCGAACAGTTGTAACAAAAACAGAACTGAGCAAAAAGACAAAACTTGCAATTTTCAAATCGGTGTATCGGCCTACCCTGATATACGGCCATGAACAATGGATATTAACAGAGAAAATTCGATCAAGAATCCAATCGGCTGAAATGAAATTTTTACGTAGAATAGCTGGTGTGACACTACGAGACAAAATTCGAAGTTCAATCATACGTGAATCTCTACAAATTGAACCTTTACTTCGTCACATTGAACGCTCACAATTACGATGGTTAGGTCATATCCTAAGAATGCCACAACAGGGACTTCCGTACCAAGTATTACAAGCTGTACCTACAGGAAAAAGACCAATTGGAAGACCACGAACCAGCTGGCGCAAATACATCGAAAAACTTATCAAGGAGCGTTTAGGCCTCCAATGGTTTGAAATAAAACAAGCTACACAAGATCGAAAACGATGGAAACTTCTACTGAACGGGCTTAAACCCCGACCCGAAAGGATAAGGGAAAGAAAATGAATGAATGAATGAATAACTATATCAAAGAAAATGAGCAAAAACAAAATTACAAGGGTTTCTAAAAAGAAAATTTTCTAAATATTTTGATTATTGTAAAGATATTTGATAATAAAAGCAATAAGATTATCAAGCCTGTTCATTAAATGCCCGTGTCAATCATTTTTTATGAATTTTATCGGGATCCCGCGAGATCCCGCCTATCCCGCAAAAAGTGACGGGATGCTGAGGGTTTCCGTCCACAAAACGGGATTCCAGAAAGGCATTTTATCCCCAGCGATTTCTTGTTCATTAAGTGAAGTGCATTCTACGCCCGGAATATATCCAAATTAGAAGGTTTGCAGTTTAAAAATAATTGTAATTGACTTAATCATACTATCACCTGCACCTAAAAAATGTTCAGTACCATGTTCTGTTCTGTATGCTTCTTTAATTGGACGATTACTTTATAGTAAAATACTTGATAAAATTGACGATAAAATGGATGATGAGATGGGTGTGGGGTGTGGGTGTGCGATGTGGGTATGGGTGTGGGGTGTGGGTATGGGTGTGAGGAGTGGGTGTAGGTATCGATCTCAGCGGCACCCTTATCCATACTCATATCCATACTCATAGCCACACCCACACCCACCCACACCTTTCATCTAGTGTTGTTTGATTTAAACGTAAGGCATTAATACAATTACGTCCTAGAATATTATTACAATTTTCATTACCAACTATAAGTTATAAGTCACGTTCCCGATCATTGTAATTCACTTTAACAATTTTCTCTTCTTTTAAAGGAATTGAATGACCTGAAAAACTATTATAGACTGATTTAATACGTTTTAACCTTCGTTTTCCCATCTTAATCCATAAATTCTCATTAATGATGGTGATAGGAGAACCTGTATCGAGATCAAATAGAACATCGAAACCATCAATTTTAATAACAACATGTATAGGCTGTATATCATGATGTTGTTCATATATAACAGAAACTATAGTAATAATCTTATGCTTGCTTGTATTTGTTTGTGACCGACAAAAATTTAGACATGTGTCCTTCCTTATTACATTTATGACAGGTGACATGACGAAAACGGCATTGTGATCGTGGATGATCATTAGGACCACAACTTGAACAAAGCAACTTATGATGAAAACTCTTAACGTTTTTATTATGTTTTTGAATTTTCATAACAGCTAATTCATCTGATAAATTATTTCTATCATTTAAACCTTGAATGAGGACAGATTCGAATATACGTGCTGCATTAAGTGTTTTTTCAAATGTTTCTAAATTTTGCTGCATTAGATGTTTTCGAGCATGTTCATTTTTCAAACCCCCCAACAAATGCTGTAATTAAAGCATCTTCATAGAAATCATTCGGAAACTTACAGGTTACTGTTTATCTCGGAGAGAGTTTATAAAATCAGTAAGTGTCCGTAATGAATCTTGACGTGTTGCAAAAAGCGAAATTCGTTCTTGTTATGATTCGTTAGATCTTTTGAATCATACGGAATCATGCAGCGAGTTGGAACTACCACAGAACGAAGAAAAAGATATCTCCTCACGGGACTCGAACCACGTATCTTCTGCTATCCGGGCAGATGTCCTAAGCCAGTTAGATTAGAAGAGAGATCTAATCTTCGTCTTATGATCGGATAACGATCAGATCATAACAGTTCTGTTGACGAAAATGTGACACGTGCATAGTTAATTTGAAGTTTTTGTATTATTTCTTGATATGAGCATTCATTCGATTTCTTTGGCTTGCAAACAGATATAAGTGTTTTAAAAGGTTGCACAGCCAATGCTGTAATAAGAATATTTCGTTTCTTGTTGTCATCGGTGATACCTTCTACATCGATGAAAGTGTCGAATAAAATTTCCCAATCATAAGATGTTGGATCAAATTCATGAAGGCGATAGGTATTAGAACGTACAGATTGTTCACCCGTAGAACGATTATTAGGCATAACAGTTTTTTTTTGTATTAAAAAAAAACTTTATCCCACTCTCGTCGCCAAATTGTCACGTATTTGAATTGCGTAATAGAATATATATCGGGGACAAGGTCAATAACTTGTTTTATTGACTTGAGAAACAGAAACGAGAAAAAACAAGATGAAAGAAATGAATACAAAGAGATTGAATTCTTTAGAAATGAACATACATATATATATATATGCATATAAATGTGATGAATCATTCAAAGGGAATTCAAAAGAACAGAAACAAACATATAACATAATATATGTTACTATATCACAATTATCATCTCTATGGTCGAAAGATAGAGCTCTAATTGGTGATCAATTAGAGCGTGCAGAAAAACAGAACCGATTCTTCCCTATTTATCTTTGCGATGGGTAAAATAATCTTCCTGTTTCCTTATGTTCTATGTATCATTCAATAGCTCTTGAAATTCTCTATCGAATGGTATAAGATAGTTGGGGTTTTAATTGACTATGATAGGAAAACTCTTTTACGAAAGCCGCGATGGGTCTATTTTTCCACAGAAAGCTATAGGTAAAAATAGACATTTTCGCAGTAACTCAGGAACGGCTCGGCCAATCCTTCTCACCTTCAAACTCGAATGAGATATTATCAAGACTAAGCTTTGTAGAAAGTTTCATCCCAATCTGACTCTGTTGTCAAAAGCTATCATGTGAACAGCCAACCGGAGGCCCGGACACACTGACTATTCTATGGTGTACTCACTTTTCTAGTACACAAAACTATGATTCGGTTCAAAACTAATATAAGATTCAGAATCAGCGTTAAAAACTGAGTCGATTTATGTATTTTGTGAATAATTATGGGCAAAAATTTTTTTTTCGAAAAATCCCCATACGTCCCCCCCTCATGGATGGTCTGGTCAAAAATCACAATTTTTTTGATAAATCAATCATTTCTTGACGGATCCTTCTCATCTTCAAACTCGACCGAGATATTTTCAAGACTAAGGTATGTAGAAAATTTCATCGCAATCAAACTCTTCTTTCGATAGTTATCGTGTAAACGGACTTCCCGATACACTGACCGATTCTATAGTGTGCTCACTTTTTGAGTACACAAAAAAGGTATGTAGTTAAAAAGGTAGAAAAAATTTTGTTAATTCCTCATCGGTAACACAATTGATGTTAAAGTTTTATATGAAATATCAATTATATATATATATACATATGTATGTACCAGTGATAACAATATGGCAAAATGAATTTTTGATTGAAAATAAAGATTTTGTAACTGAAAGAATATTATGAAGATATATATGAACAAACACTTTGCAATGTAAGTAAAAGTTGATAACGAAAAATATAGATTTTGTATTTTTCTAAACATATATCACATTTTCTAGGTAAGAACATTGTTCTGAAGTATAAAAATGATCAAACTATAGTCTTGATTAATTCATGACTGCTAGAGTCTTATGTATCACTCATTGACTCCTTCGGTATTTGTTTATTCTTTTCACATTCTTTGATGCTTTATTTCTCTTTACATAGTGCTCTCTATACTCGCTTAACGGAGCAGATTCAATCTCGAAATAAAATCAAAACCGAGAAGGAACCGGGGTAGTCTTAATAACGACTAAGCTAATACGAAACACAACCAACTAGAAAATATAAAAAAACAAATCTTCAAATGATAAGATAAAATAGATAATATAAACCCATCGATTTATACAAACGATTTCATTCATCAACTGTACTTTTAATGTTATAAATAAACTTGTTTCACTACTAGTATCATTATATAAGGACAATTGAACTATAAGTACATAGCAATACTATCTTAATTATATTAAATCTGGTCGAATCGAACAATTTTTCACAGCATAGCATCTTGAAACTGATATCCTTCATCTATCGAATGTGTTATGAAGAAGTGTTGATTCTAACTATTTTTTTATTTCATTTTTGTGTACTCAAAAAGTGAGTACACTCTAGAATCGGTCAGTATGTCCGTCCGGCCGGCCGTTTACAAGATAACTTTCGAAAGGAGAGTCTGATCATGATGAAATTTTCTATACAGTTCAGTCTGAACAACGTCTCGGTCGAGTTCGAAGATGAGCAGGATCTGTCAAGAAATGGCTGAGTTATCGAAAAAATTGTCATAATTGATTTGACCATCCCTGAGGGGAGGTACAGGGATTTTTTTGAAAAAAAACTTTTTTCTCGGAATTCTTCACAACATATATAGATCGACTCAGTTTTTATCGGTGATTCCGAATCTGATATTAATTTTGAACCAAATCGTAGCTTTCTAACAAACCATCTATCGAAAAAAGTCTCGAACTGCAGAAAAACTACATGAAGAAAGCAAATTGTGTAGATATTTATCAGATAGTGAAAAATAAAGTGAACATATCTTTTCACTTTTTGAAGTACACATAACACTCGGATGTAAATCCGATGTTTTCGCATTTATTTATTATATGATGTATAATTCTTCAAAGAAAAAATTAAATAAAACTAATTGAAGCTAGATTATTAGTTATTGGGAAAAAAAGTTTATTAGTAAACATCGAAAATATTAATTTCTGTATTTATGTGTATACAGCATTGACGCATCGTGGGCAACTTCCACAACATTTTTGATTGACTGCTACACATGATGCATCTGTTGTACAAATTCGAGGACATGGACGAGTCGGTGGAAAAATAATAGGTGAGACTAAGATCGGTGGACAACAACCTCGATGTTCCTGTGGACAACAAACAGGCCTACCGCATTGATTATATTTACATGTACCACCTGCTGTTTGACATCTTAGTCCTTCTGTACAATTGACACTTAACATTGGTTGACCATATTTACATGGGTTGCATGCAAGTAGTCCTGGAAATCGTGAACAGAAAATACATATATCAATAGGGATTGGAGGAATTGGTCGAATTGTTATCAATTCACCAGGTGGTGGGTGAATATTAATGGTATCACCTTGAACTGTATACGATGCAACAAGAACTAAAGTTGCTAGTGATAATCGCAACATTAAAATTTTCATGATGTTTGTTAATATTAAACACGAATAGTCTTATTTAGAATTTGTGTAATGGGTGAGATTTATATAGTATTATAGTAATTGACAAAGCATGACTTCCAGTTAATAAAAAAGATTAAGATTTTGTAGCAAATGTCATGCGTTTTTATTTTGGATGATAAAACAGTATTGTAGATCAGTCTTAAAATAATCTATTCATTTAATTATAAAATATATCGCTTCTATAAATCATGACTATACTTACATGTATAAGTTTTTGTTTATTTTTTCTTTTTTCGTTGACGCAATTTTCTATGACTAAATCATTTTTACTCTTAATAATCACATATGCATGAATAGGCGTATTATAGTTACACGTGCATGAATAGACGCATTTAGTCTCTTAAAGATACTTTTTATCGATAATGGATAAGGCAGTCAAGAATAGATGTAAAACAGTTACATGAAAATTTTTCTCTTAAATATTCACTCGGATTATTTTATCTGCTTTATCAGAAGATTTATAATAAATTAATAGATTCACTGTCTCTAAGCATAAATATTGATTATTATCAATAAAACTACTGATAAGCAATTAAAGAGAAAAGACTCAAAACTGTATATATTATTGTTTCTATGATGAGAAAAACTTTGAAATATTACATTTCTTTTCTAGTTATAGCCTGCCATTCCATAGAAGTATTTAGATTTGTTAATGCATTTGCAAATGAATAAACTACATTAAATTAAATAATAATTACAAAAAATGGGAATCCATTAGATATAACTCATATAAATTATACATATATTGCAGACAAAAAAAGACGATATGAATAAACAAAGCAATCAGTAGTAAATCTTGTGGATTCATTTTGACAATGAGCAGTTCCAATTAGGGGTGGACCATTTAATTTAACGCGAGTTAATTCACAGCGTTAAATAACTAAAATCGTTAATCATTAATATTAACGTTAACAGTTTTTAGTTAATCGTCAACTTATTGTAAATTAACTCATTAACGTATAAACAACGATCATATATCGTTCAATTTCGAATTTTTCATGAAAAAATCAACATTTACACAATAATTTTTTTATGCTGTCGATGAGAATGTCAGTATGAACTATGAATTGTAATCATATCTATACTGATCCAATTTCATCTTACAAGATATTCTTAAATTCTCGTATGAACATTATAGTAGAATAAGAGAGTCATAAAATGAGATGTTTTGAGTTAGTTTGAAATCAAAAGTTGAGTCTTGTTTATAATCGGGATTGATGTTAAATAGTCTTTAGTGAATAGCTCATTGATTCAAAATTAATTGATAAATATAAATGATACATTTTTTCGACAGCAATTCAGCTAAGAAAAGTAGATTATCTGAGTTCATTCCGTCTGACCTGCCAAAAATTATCAATCAGTGTAATTCTGCGACGATTAACTATGATATTTAACAATATTATTAGTTGTCGACGTTCCAATAGAGTTAGTATGGAAGTTTTTCAACACATTTGTCTTTGGCTTATTAGAATATATAAGAGTGCGTCACAAAATCACGTTGATGATTATGAATATAAGAGTGAAAATTGTAAAAACAATTATTCAGTACGTTTTTTGATTTTGAAAAGATAAACTTATTCTGATAATTAAAAATTGATTGATATTATATTAAATAGTCTTCGAAAATTCATAAATGAAACCACTATGTTGTGAAAGATACATGAGTGCTTTGCGCTGGAATTGTACAATATGAAGAAAAAGATCGAAAAAAATGAAAGTGAATATGAAGCAAATTTGAATCTAGCATCCGATAGAGCTCTATTAGTTGTATATGAATCAAATATTTTTTCAACTCTCACGTTTTTCATTTCAGAAAAAATTAAGTTTTATTAAAAAATATTTGATTTATATACATTCTATACAGCTCAATCGGATGCTGATTCAAATTTGCTTCATAATCACTTTCATTTTTTTAATAGCTAATATTTTATTATTGTACATCAATAGAAAGCTTTTGAAAAGGAGAATCTAAAGAACCTAGGCAGAACTTTATTGACACACATACATGTCTATAATAAGAACGGAAATGTGCAGATGACATTCTCACCACCATCCCTTCCCTATTACTTTTAGGTTTTTATTCCATTTAGACAGTCTTTGGAAAAAATTCTTTTTTATCGAAGCATTGTCCCTCTTTAGTCTATCGAACAAATAAACAAAATTAAAATTTGCTTTTCAGTAGGATTTAGTGAGATTGGAATTAATCTGTCCGGGGATTGGGACACAAAACAAAACTGTCGGGACATTTTTTGGAATAAAATACTATTTTCTCAGAAACGATACGTGCTTAAGAGCTGAAACTTTTACCATAGACTTGTCATATAGTCAGCTAAAAAGAATAGAAAATTCATAACCTTAGCTATTATAGTTACCGAGAAATCAAAGAAACCAAATCTAAAATCT